CACAGCACACACATACACACCTCCGCCTGCAAGATTTAGTCAGGGGTATATAGTACAAGTCATGGACAGGTTCCGGGCCGTGAATTTTTGTTTACTGCCCGTGACCTGTCCATGACTTTCACTAAAAATACCCGTGACTAAAACGTAGCCTTATTTATGATACCATCTTTAATTGCATGATCACATACTAATTTTTCCCCAGGACCCCTGCCTCATTTTGTGCACAGAACTGGCCAGCTCTGGGTCCTTGGGATTTCCCGTGAACTGTATTTCATTAGCTAAACACAGATTTGTGGGCCAGAGTGATGAATGGAACCATGTCTAGTTAAGGAAGAGGAACACAATAAAAGGCAACCACAAGCTGCCAGTGTTGCGAGAAGAGTCCCGCTCTAGGTGCCAGTTAGGGGAGAACGGAGTCCCAGAGTTCCTCTGCAAGAGCAAGAAGCCAGCAGGGAAGAGCCCTGCACCACCAACTACCGAAGTCAGCTTTGGGAATTGCTTTGCTCAAACCTGCGGTACAGGGAGCAGCCCCCTAATGGAACTATAAGGAGTCACCCCCTTTGGCCTGGCACCGGGCCTCAGGAGGTAAGCCCTTTCCTGCCAGAAAGTGGGCCCAGCCAGAGAACTGCAGAGTCAGAGCTCTGCTGGTTCAGCCCAATCCTTCTCCGGGACCAGCGATGACCAGGGGGATATTGTTTGTGGTGAACCTGCTTGGGCTGCTCCTGTAACCCACAGGATCGCCAGAGCAAGCCAATCGGTGTCTGCTGTGCTCTTGCGCCCAGACTGAGGAAAGGGTGAGGTGTGTGACCCTTTGAGCACCCCAATGCCAGATGGCATGGAGTTCCCTGGTACGTCCCAGTGAGTCCCAGCTGGCCTGACCAACTCCGTGCACCTCACACGCTGATGTCACGGTATTTAACCAAAGGGTGGCATGTAATAGATCACTGAAAAACAAATAACTCCCCGATGGTTGATATCCATGTGTGGTATATGTAAGGCTAACCTACCCAGACAGCCTGGAAATATGGGACTTAAACTAGGCATGTCAGGGGAAGTTAATAAATGGGTTTTTCCAGACACAGGAAAGGGGCTGACACCTCAAGCCAGGTGTGTCAAGGACAGTGAGCTACTGGTTTGTGTCAGAGATTGCAGGAAGATCATCTGCACTGTAAAAATCACAAGTGGGGAAGAAGCCAGCTTGGCGTCGGCACAGCGTCTACACCAGCCGGCACAGCGTCTATACCCAGGAGGCGGAGGGAGCCTTATCTGGGGCTACATTTCAGCAGAGTACATTTCAGCGCTTACTGGACTATAAAAAGAGGGGAGAGAATCCCTAAGTTATCCTTCACTTGAGGAGACATAAAAACTTTGGGCTCTGGGATTGGGTCCTGGCTGACGACTAGCCAGCCACGCCGGAAGAACGACTATGGTGAGAAAACTTGAAGCAAAGGACTCTAGTTCGTTAAGTTGAGTTTCACTCTTAGTAGTGAATTTTCACTTTTGTTTGTGGCCATTTCTAGCCCTATTACTTCTACTTGGTATCACTGAAACCTGGGTCCTTTTGCTGATAAACGCGTTTTACTTGCACTATATACCAACTCCGTGCAGTGACTGAAGGGGAGACTGTGTTAACGCCAGTTGAGCTAACAGGCTGCTGTGTACTGTGTCTTTAAGGGAGCAGTGAACTTGTTACAGTGTTGGGAATGCTAGTCAGAGGGGCTATGCACTGCACAAAGACATTTCGGGGGGTGGAGGGGAGCTGGGGCTGGAAGGGTTGTTGCGGTCCCTCTGCGATGGAAGCCTGGGTGAGACCTCCAAGCTCATGTGCTGAGAGCCAAAGCAGAACAGTATTCTAGGCACCCTGAGCCCCTTACTTTGGGTTTTACCCTCGCCAGCATCACAGGGCTGGATATCACATTGTCATGGAACTATAACACCTGGCGATGGCCGAGACCCCTAGGCCAGGCCCTGCCCCAGTGTTCCCTTGAGCCCATTATGGATTTATTTAGATTTAGAGTAGAGTAATGAAGATGCCTGTCTACGGGTATAGGAACCGGATCATTAATTATACAATAAATACCATTCAATTAAGCCTCAGCAGCATTAAAATCATCAGCTCCCCAGGAACTCAGCCAGCCGCTTGCTCTGGCCTATCCATCCAGCCGTGTTTTTATATCGTGCCCATCACCATAGTATGGCCACATCCACACGCGCTTTAAGACGCTAGACACAGAAAAGACCTATTGGACCAAGCAGTCTATTCCCCGGGGCCAGCCCAGGTTTGTCCCCTATTGTACATTTTTCTAGCGCTTGGTACAGACTAGTCCCATAGTGTTCTTTTTGCGGATACAGACTAACACGGCTGCTACTCTGAAAGCTGGAAGCAATGGGGCTCCTGCCAGTCCCCATAAGAAAACTGACTGAAAAGATACCCCAACGCATCCTTAATGTTACATGGGAGCTTCCCACAGAGCAGAGGTCCCCAAACTGTGGGGCAAGCCCCCCTACAGGGGTGCGAAGGAGCGTTCAGGGGGCACGGCTGGAGCCTGGGCCTGCCCCCACGAGGGGTGAGGAGGGAGCGCCACCCAGTTCCACTCCTGGCCCTGGCTGCCGGCCCCGCTCCCAGCCCTGCCCCCAGCCTCAGCCCCCTTACTGCGGCCCTCCGCCTGGAGCTGCGGCCCCATTCCAGGCTCCGGGGGTGGGGCACGGACAGGGATAATGGGGGGAGGGGGGAAGAGGAAAAAAGTTTGGGGACCACTGCCATAGAGGAACCGTGCTGGTGCAGCCAGTCCGTTTTCAGCAGGGCAGCCTGACCGCTTCGGCGGTGGCCTGGTGCAACGTTGCTCCTCCTGCCATGCACACAAAGAATCAATTCAGGCCTTACCCTCCCTTTACACAAAGCCTTTTTATTCCCTCCCCCACTCCCTCCTGGATAAAGGCTCCACGGTCACTCTGGAGAGACAAGCCGGCTTTCTAGAGACTCCCAGCTGGGGCAGAGAGAGACACAACGGTTGCTCACAGCAGCTCTGAGAAATCTTGCCAGGTAGCCTCCCTGCACAGCGGCACACCGGCTAAGGCAGCGCTGGTGGCCTCTCCCTGCAGCCAGGGGGTTGCTCTGGGAGGACCTTAGGTGCGTTACAGGCTGGGTTAGAAAGGTGAGCCCAGCAACAGCTCAGCAGATTGGTAATGAGCTACAGAGTAGAGCCCCAGCCAGGGGAGGGAGAGAGGGGGAGAAAGCAGGACAACCACCCTACTCCCTCCAGCCAAGAGTCCCAGCTCCCCCGCTCTGCTGGCTCACATGCCCGGAGGCAGTGCTGGGTGGGAGCCCAGAGCTGCTTCAGCAGCTCTCGCGCACTGCTCCCATCCTCACGGCCTTGCGAAAGGTGCTCCCTGCCCCATGGCTCCAGACGAGGGGGCTCTGGGTCCCCAGTGGCTCCCCCATGCCTAGCACTCTCTGAGGGGCAGGGTAGGGCTAGGCCCCGGATCAATCAGGACACGGATCCGGGACCTATTGCCCCCTTAGGCAGCGTGGGGGCCACCACAGGGCTTTCTCCCAGGCCCACCCCCGATACCTCCTGTGCCCAGCCTGCTAGAGCAGGCAGTGCCCGGATGCCCAGAGGTTAATCGCCGACAGAAGCTGAAGTGAATGCCTCAGTCAGGCACTGCACGCAGCACTGGGAGCACAGAGAGCACCCTGGGGAACAAATGCCAGATGCATCAAACTGCTGGCAGCTGATCGCAGTGCCCTGCGCGACTTCCCTCCCAGCCAAAGAGAACATCGCCAGGTGCAATTTCCTTGTGCTGAGACATGGACAGACAGAGACACAGGTGACAGCCCCATCCTTTCCACGTGATCAAGGATGAACCATGCTGCTGGCCCCTCTGCACCCCGGCCGCGTTCACCTCCTGCCCCCCCCCCCACCCCTCTCTCTG